TTTTTTGACCCTCAGGTCTCTCACTAAGGGGAGACTGCTTTATAATAGCATTGCTAGATTCAGTAGAGATCCCGATAAAAGAAGATTTAGATGCGAAGAAAAAACTGGTGAACCAATGAAAAGCAGAGTTACACTGTTTGACCCAATACTTGAAGATTTACAGGTTGTTTTCAGTCAGGAGTGGAAGCTGGTGATGAAGGTAGCCTTGTCTTTGATGTAGCCCTGTTTATTTAGAAAGCGTGGTTAAGAAAAAAAAAAAAAAGAGAGAGTCCTGTTTCCCTGAACCACTGGGGAATCCAACAACAGGACTCGGTTTATTTGCTTACAGTTCCAAAACGCTTTCCAGTCAGCGTCCTGCCGAAAAAGCTTCCTTTCTTTCCTTTCTCTGACACAATTTCCAGTGGTTCCTTGGTGATTGCTTGACTTTTTGGCTCCCTGTTGCCTTTACTGGGCTCCTCGTGAGGTGCCTGCCGCCGCATGAAGCCCTCCTTTCACCCGAGCCTCGTCCGACCGCTCTCACCCAGGGCTGTGGCTCCGGGCTGGTTCCTCTGCAGTCCCTTTGCTGAAGCGGCAGAGCTGAACTTTCACCTCTGTTTATCCAAAAATTACAGGCTTTTTTTTTTTTTTTCCTTGCATACATTAGCACCAACAAGCTTCCATCCAGCCCCAGCACCACAGCACAAACGCCTGTTTCAGCTTTCGCACGCTAAGCTGGGTGCAAGGAGGTGCGGCTGGCTTTCCTGCGGGTGCCGAGCACAGTCCTCAGCAGGGCAGAAGGCAATCTGTGCTCTGCTCCAGCGCTCAGGACCCTGAAGGATCTGTGCCCTGCACTTATTTACTGGAAGGATTTGATAAATTAGGGCTTTGTTCTCTCAAATTGCTTTATTCTGGGGGGAGAAACCTTCTGGGGAAGGCTGGAGAACTCTCTTCTGACAGCAGTATGGGCTGGGTGGGTAGCGTCAGCCTGAGTTTCATTTGCTGCGGTGGTCAGGCCTCCGAGCGCTGGAGATGCGCGGTCCCCTCCTGGAGCTGCTGGGCTCCCTGTTCTCCTTGGTGCATGTTTCTCGGCAAGAAATTTGTGCTGATTTGGCGATGTGACTGGGGTTTTCATGTCATCTCCCTCACCTCCCCTCTGGGGAAAAACATTAAGGTCTTGAAAAGTATTCAGTGGCGTATAATTCAAGGGTGCACGAGGAAGCACAGCACACAGCTACGCTATTTTTCAGTAAGAACTACAGAGGGTAAATTTGCACTAACGTGTTAAAATAAGTAAGAAATGACTTCGCAATGCGAAAATATCACATCTCAGCCAGCAAGTGATGTTTCTGTAGTGAAGTTTCTTAGAAATCAGATTTCTCACAATGAGATGAGAGAAGGGGAATGACATTTTGGCATTGTATAAGGGATGCTGCTTTTACTGCTAAATATGGTAGTTTCCATTTATCATGTAAAAGCAAATGCATGCTGGGATGGAAGATGGTACGTTATCTGCAGGTTCAAGAAATTAAAGTGGGAATATTATTAGATGAAAATAAGAGCTTCCATTGTGGCTGTCTATTTACAGGCGTAATAGGTACTCGCAATATTATGAGATCACGTTATGTACAGAGCGAGCAATCCGCTCTGTTGCTAGCATGCACCTTTGTCTCGGCGCTTAGGGACTGATGAATGTCCCTCAATTTCACTTGCCAAGATAAAGACACTTTCCTTTTTGTACAAAACCAAACCATTACAAATAATTCAGAAAACTTTCCTTGCAGCTGGGGTCAGCTAAGGCTAGTTTGGCTCCAAAGCGGTGTGGATCTTTACCCCCTTTTATGGGACTGAGCTGAGAAGATGGTGCACTGGAGGAAGTCTTGCAGAGCCACTGTCTGTTCTCGTGAATAAAGAGCTCCTCTTTTCAAGGAGAGAATTTGCCTTTTGTGAAAGGTGGTGGCTCCCCTTCCCTGAGACTAAATCGGATCCTTATTTACGGAGGAGGAGCAATGTGTGAAGGAGCAGAGTGAGTCTCTGCACGCACACTTGACCTGGAAAGACCTATTGAGGCTGGATGTGTGCTGCAGGAGCCATCCTCACCCACCCCAGCCCGGACGGGAGGCTCACCGGCATCTCGCTTGTGGCCCTGCAGCACTGTGTGCGCCATCAGGCTGGGACCACCACGTCATCTGGGTACACCCGGCCGGCAACACTCGGACATCGGTAAACGGAGCCCCGACACTCAAATATGCTTTAGCCAGAGTTAGCTGCAGCCTGCACAGATGCATCGCAAAAACTGGCATAAATACATATGGCTGCAAGCGGCCGCGCTGTAAGTGCCAAGGTAATACCACCATAACTGAGTCCCACGTCATTTTGCCATGTACTGCTCTCCCCAGGGAGCAATCTGCTCTCCCCCTCTGTTCCAGGAGTAACATACCTTCCTATAGTGCACCCTTTTCCCAGGATCTGGCGCAAGGCTTGGGTAAAATTGCCTTAATTCCCGCTCTTGTGCTCCAGCCGTGAGATTACAGGCTGGAGAAGGGCAACCATCTTACAGCTGGGAGCGCATCCTCTCCCTGGCACGAGCTGCAGCGCTCGGGCACGGTCAATGTTTCGGTTGCTGCCTCTCAGAAAACTGGAAGGCACAGGTTTTCACGGTTTTGTCTCATTACAATACTCCCAACGAAAGTGAACGGGTAGTTGTGTTCAGGCACTAGTTCTGTTTGTCTGTGTAGGAGCTGAGCTCCTAACTCCAGAATCTGAAAGACACTGACTTTTTATCAATTGACCTAACCCCCAGCTAAGGAGGAGTCTCATTTTCAGTCTCAAAGGATTAAAGTGAAATGTCTGCTCAGCCTCCCCCTCCCTCCCATGTTTTTCAGGACTTTCTTTTAAAAGGGAGAGGCTTTGAACCCCCTAAAGCAGCAAGGTTAGTTTCCTGCCTGTTTCATTTTGGCTTCCATAATGCTCGTCAGGGAAAGAAGATGGAAAAGCCCTACGAGGGGGGAATATCCTTATCACCGACCTGTGAACTTTGCACTAGGGGAGCAATACAAAGCCACACAATTGTCTCCTCTCAAACAAAGATTGAGGAGTATCATTACAAAACCTCAAACTTTTCTTGCAAATTCTTCTGCAGTGGGCTTATATTGTATTCAATCCTGTTTCTTCCAAAGAGCTGCGTCTTTAGATTAAGTATGCTGTTCATCATTCATTTTACTTCTGACGCTGGTTTTTCTATCTGCTTAAAGCTGTATTTGCATTTTTATCATGGAATTTTGCCACTGAGTTTAAAAGGAGTAGATTTTAGCCATAAATGAAAAGCCAAAGTGATAAAATTTTCAAGTTTTGCAGTACAAAATATGTAACTTATTTCCTAATTTTTAATACAGTTTGTAGGAACTAGATCTCACATTACATGAAGCTGAAAACATGTATCATTGTAAACTGGAAGTCTAAATTTATGCCACGTTTATATACAACCCTTTCTTAAGCTTATATTAAAGTGTCGTTATGATACTGACTTCAAGTACAAAATAAAAGCCCTAAGCAAGGGATATTTTTCACAAATCTGAAACAAACAACAGCGATAGAAAAGTCCTTAACTTGTCATCCGCAGTGACACAACGAGAATCACGGTGTGAATTACAACGATTTCCACTGCAACAGTTTGGAGGAGTAGCTCACATAGTAATTACTTTCCAAAAACTTGGAGATCGTCTTTCTCACTTTAAACAGAAACATTTGCCTCTCCCATCCCAACCGTAGCATAGCTGAAGTAAGAGGAATGAGATCTGCCTGTACAGAAAAAACACTGCTAATCTCCATTGAAATGTACAGCTCGAGCCCATCCCCGGCGAGTTTTATCCCACGGATTTGTCTGAGCCGTCAGGTTTCAGAAAAATGGTAAAATCCCTTTTTTCAGAGCTGACATTAAATCTGGCTGCTAGAAAGCGAGGAAATAGAAACTTACCACGGCAGAGCGGCCGGGGCTGGGATCGTGCCCACGGCTCGGCAGATTTCAGCCCGATTCCTCCCTGACAGCCCACATTTGTCCTTTTTGTGTGCGCGGATCGCCAGTCCGGTTAGTCCCGCACGGAAAATCCACGTGCTCGACTTTCTAAAAGTTTACCCGTTCATCTTTAAAATCTAAAGCGACTGGCAGCCGTCTGCCTTCCTTTGTTCGGCGAGGAAACAAAACTGCTGAAGGCTGCAGCCATCGTGTCTTGGGAAACAGGACAGGAGAATGGGCCCAATGTCTGGGCAGGGTTTGCGGGCAGGGGGAACTCTTGGGGGTCTCGATAGGAAACGCTTTCCATTGGGCAGGGATGTATTATTAGAGCCTGAGCCCGCCCCGCGCCTGGCGCTCTGCTGGGTCCCTCTCGCAGGGCTGTATTCCCTTCCAGCGCATGGCCCAGCCCAGGCAGCTCCCAGTTCAGAATTAGCAGCTTGAGGACAGCCCGACAATGGGCAACGCGGATTTCCTGAGCAATTAGCTGGCGGACACAGCCTGGAGAGCCTGCCCGCGCCTCCGCGCTGGCGATGGTAATGAGCAGGGGAAAAGCTGTTCGAATCGCGGATTTGCCTTTGCACGGCTGTAATTGTTTTTCCTTCCAATTAAAAAAGTGAGGAGGAGAGGGGGGAGCTGGGAATCTGGAAAGCGTTGGGTAAGACTAGGAAGCTGCAAAGCAAAGCTGGCCATGAAAAAAAATCTTTCTAAACAGATTTAGAAAGGGGTTGGTTTTTAGGTTGGGGTTTGCTTTGGTTTTTTTTTAAATCTTCTCAAAGGAGCTGGCTAGAACAGCCTGGACTCTTGTCCCCCGGCAGTTTGCTCTGCAAGCCCCGGGTTCCTGCTGGAAAACCCGTAGGCTATCAAATGTTTAGGGACGTAATTAAAAATACTCCCGGGAAGCGTGGCTGCTTTTGCCTGCGTAGCTCACCCTGAGAGCTGCTGCCACCTTTCAGTGAATCTGCCTTCCAGCAGAGCCGCTAGCTAAAAGCTGTTTATTTTTATCTCTTACCTTTAATATCAGCCCTTCAGCTAGGGGAGAGGATCTTCTGGCAGTGGACGACTTGTTTGCCTCAGCCTGTTTATGCCGTGGAGCAGCTGGTGCCTTTTTCTTTCTTTTTCAGCCCTCTCCAGTGCCATAGGTTTGAAACCCCGTCTCTGCTTTCAAAGCCCAGCCTCCCACCTAACGTCTCTCGCTCGCATTGTGTTTGTCTCTCCTTTTCCTCCGCTCTTCTTGGCCGTTCCCACAGGCAGCCAAGGCCAGTAAACAACTCATTGTGAAGCTGGGGCTAATGTTATTCCTTGGGCTGGTGGCTGATGCGGTGGTCTCTGGCTCGCCTCTGCAGCACGCCCAGCTGCCACAGGCTTTTATCCAGTCGATGCAAATAACTTCCTGAATATCTCATGTAACAGCCAAACTCCAGTCTGCAAAACCTCATCCTCCGAGGGCTCACGCTTTAATAAAACATGTAAAAACACGAGCGTGGATTTGGATTGAAAATGGGGAAGGTGCAGATGTTTCCTGCTCCTAATGGTCAAAGGTCCGTTTTCCCTTTTTTAGCTGGTAAAGATGACAGAGAGCCTAGGTAAATTGTGAAGGGACGGCCAAAGACATCGGCCATCGCCGTCGCTCCTGTTTGGGCGGGGGTAAGTATGGGGGCTGGCAGAAGGCTGAGGTGCAAACTCCACCAGTATCACCAGTAAACTCGCATACAGAAATCAGCTTTGGCCCTTCATGGCTTGTGGGCATTTTTAAGGCTGGCTGCATGGAAATCCTGATCCCTGGGGTGTAATGCAACTGCTTTTCGCACCCCCGGGGCCCATTCTTATGCGAGTGAGTGCTCTCAGTGGGGACAACATGTCTGCATTTGAAATCACCCTTTTTAGGAAAAGTGTGGTTTGGATGGTTTGAGGCTGGGTGTACTGATACAGATTAGAATGAGCACGAGCACGCTGAAACCCTTTGCAGATTAACATCTTGTGTGTCAGCCTTCAATACTACCAGTCGCTGGGCAAACCCATTAGAGAGGAGACTTATCGCTCCTTGAAGATTAAATACAGCATAAATCTTAAAATAAAACAAAACTTCTGTGCTTCTTACAGGGTTTAGCCAGAATGTGGCAATTGTGCCAACTTTGATGCTGTTGGAATTTAACCAGGCAGCTGTACCTATCTGGGATGTTTGCTTTCTCTCTAGAGTCATTGGTTTAATTAAGCACTCCTAACAGAAGCCTTCAGCTGTTGTGAACTTCAAGGGCTCTCAGGAACTCCTCCTTACAATGTTACTTCTAACCCAACAGGAGACTGGGGATGGTGTTTTTGCCCTTTATGGAGTCCCTCCATCTAAACCATCCTAGTGGTTCCAACTTCGTATCCATCCATGGTTGCCATTGAATTCAAAAGCATCTCTAGTGAGCAGGTTGGTCAGTCACCTGTTACTTTGGGCTTTTTCTTTAAAAAGGAGCATCTTTTTCTGCTAGCTATAGCCAAAACTAGAAGCTGGACAAGTAGAACCTCTAGGCTGACCCATGATGCCACTCTCCAGCCTCCAGGATCGTAAAAAAAAAAAAAAAAAAAAATTCAAAAATTTTTCCTTTAAAGGTTGAAAAAAGGTTTTGGAATTAACCAAACAAGCAACCAAGACATATAGCATGTTTGGGTTTTTTAGAAGATAAAAAAAAAAAAAAAAAAAAAAATCTCAAAGTTTTCCCTTAAGAGATGCAGCAAGGTTTTGGTATTAATAAGAAAATGTCCCCAGAGCAATATATTCCTGCTCCCCTCCAAGAGATGTTCCACAAAGCAATACGCATGCGCCTTTACTTTCTCCTCACCAGTTTAAATAGGCCAAATGCCATGCTATCAACGTACCCTGCATATTTTTTTAAATAAATAAAGCACAAACATTTCCAACAAAGTACCCTTAGCATAGGTTTATTTGCCAAACATGAAAAAAGGAGGAGGCCGCCTCTCTTCTCGGTTACAGTTACAGGCAAGTGTTTTCTTTAAAATGGAAAAACAACGAGTAGACTCCTCAGCTCTTCATCTCTCCCCTCTGCACAACTCGTTTGCTGTCCCCACCCTGATCCCATGGTGTTCATCTTAGACTTGGGGCAGGGTGGGATTTAGTGAGCTCTCCTTGTTAAAACATTGGCAGTACATCAATAATCTCCAGTTATTTTGGAAAACAAGGGAAACTGGACTGTTATCTTATTGGAAACCATGGCTGCTGAGAACGCATAACATGTTTAAGCAAAAGTTTTACCCCCTGTTTACAGTACTCAGATTTTCTGCTTGTGCATGAAAACTCTACTGACATGATACTTCTGTTATGCTTTTGGTTGTCTGTTGTGGCAGTGGTGGCGTTTGTACTGGCATATGAAATTTCGATTGATTTCAGCCAGGCAAGAATATCTGAATTTAAGGAAAAAAATTGCCCAGGAGACTAGCATATTGCATTTCTGAATGATTAACGCTTAATTCTTCTGCTGTCAAACGTACTGACTATTTTCAGTCAAACGATGCTTTATCGTGCCAAGATTCCTACTTCAGGGCACTTACGAGCACTCAAACGGAGCCAAAGTGCAGAAATCAAATCAAAATTGCATTTTAAAGGCCACTAGAATGCATATGATAGAGACATTAGCTTTTCCCTTTCCTCCTCTGTTCATTGGCAGGGCTTGTTTCCTTCCTTTGCTTTCCTACAACAGCAGACTTAATTTGTCATTTGGTAGCTAAATATTGCATGGCTTTCGTTCATCCCGGTAGGGCGGCGCGTATCAGCTGTTCTGAGGCCCCGCGGAGCCCTCCCTCCCGCAGGGGAGCGCCTGTGGACAACCGGCACCGGTCAAAATGGACCATCCCGGGTGGCTTCGTCGCACCGGAGAGGTTCAGGGACCCTGCTTGGGGAAGTGGGTAGTCCCACATTGCCAAAATACCTACTCTTTCAGCTTGCAAACTCGGTTGTATTTAGAAATTTTGGCTGTCTGCAATATATCCTTATGGTCTCCTGTATCATTTGCTCATCCTAGGAGGCACACAGCTTCCTAAGGGCTCGTGTTTTTAAAGCACCAGCTTTAGGACTACAGCTCCCACGCTACAGCAGCTCCAGTGGAATAAGGTTAATGTTAGGGTGGCTCTAAAGGAAACATTTGGATGATTAAACCAACAGGTTCAATTCTGTCAGAGTGGAGTATTTCATTTAGATGTTCCTCAGGAAAGCTAAAGGAAAAAAACAGTAATACTGATATTTTCCTGGTGAAAAAAAAAAAAAAAGTCACTTTACAGAAACCACGGTCTCTGATGGAAAAGATTTTGAAGGAAAATTCCTGAGCAGATGTAGCAGAACCCTTCAGGAGCTCGCTAATGCTGCAGTGTTTACTAATGCTTAATGGTTTGTCAGCGCTTCCATTCGAAATCCTTTTTGAAGAGTTTTATAACAAAGCCATAAAAAATCACTTTGGAATCAAATGGAAATGCAAAGCTTTATCCTGTTTGTTTTTCTTAAAACCTCTGTTTAGAAGGACCTTTTTTAATCATTTTAAATGCTGCAGATAGATGCCAAGCAAGTGCCCATTTGAATCAGTATCTTTGCAATTTTAAGATGGCTTCATTTGAAAACCCTGGTTTGTTGCTCTTGAAGTTCCATTACTTTCTAATCTAACAGGGCTTTTTGCTAATAGATGACAGGATATTTCTTTTCCAAATGTTTAGTCAAATCGAAGATTTTGGGGGGCGGGGGAAAGTGCTGCTCGTGCCAGCGGAGTGACTGAGTGTCCAGAAAGTCCCTGCTGCTCTCAGTGCTGACAGTTTTCTAGCGAGCGCAGCCTGCTAAAACACGAATACCGTCCACCCGGGTAAGGACTGGATTAACCGATTAACCTGAGATTTGTTTCTCTGATTTTTAGACCCATCCAATAGCAACTATTTGCATTCTCACGAGTCCTGAGGGCCTGCCCTTATTAAGTGCATTTAACTTGAAGCAAAGGCATTAGATTATGAGCTGCTGAAATGTGTTTCATTGTGTAAAAAGTAAAACAAAAGTTCGTATTGTTTGCTAGGTCAGGCACATAGAAACCTCCGGTGGCACCAAGTGCCTGAACCTGAATATTCCTCCAAAGCATGCATTTTTTTTCCTAAACCTTTGCTTTTCTTTGCTACATAGCACCATCAATAAGCTAGAAGAATGTCAGTCTTTTAGACGCTGTCCTCTCCGTGCCTCGAGGGATGCCTCTCCCTTTGCTTTCCATGTTTCGCAGTAATTTAACTGGGCTCTTCCAAGTGTGTCTCAGTAGTTTCACAGCCTTTCATTTTTCTTGTCAACGGAGAAGGGATTCATTTTGCAGACTCCCCACTCATTAGTCATTTTCCCCATAATGTGGAGCAATTTCCAATCTTGCATGACCAAATCTAGCCCATAATGTCTCCCTTCAGAAATTGCATCCAGGAGCTACTTCAGGCAAGAAAGAAATACCTGATTATTCTCTCCTCCAGAATGAGTTCAGAAACTCCCTCTGTCCTAATTTGGTGCGGGATCTGGGTTCGTTGATTCTTTTTACCCAGTTCAAAGGGGCTGCCTTTCAGTTCTGCATGCTTCAGAGTCCCCGCTTTAATAAACACGCGGTAACGTGCACCGTTGTTTTGACAAGAGGCACCAGTTACGCCGAAATCTTATCCCCTGGAGAACGGAGCAGGTGTTTTCCAGCAAAGCTGCTGGGCCGCCTGCCTGCGCCGCCGCCAGCACCAGCAGACGAGGAGCCTGGTTTCAGGGTCAGGCGACGTCGCTCCTGTTGCGGTGGAGGATGATGTTTGAACGTGTCCAAGGGGAAGCTGAAACGGCTGCCTTTGTCTTGCCGTGGTGGGGAGCAGAGCAGGTTTTAACGAAAAGCGGGTGAAATAGAGTTGTTCTATTCTTTTTCCGAATCCCAGTGATAGCCAACAAATGGCTCCTATTCCAGGCATGGTGGAGCCTGGATTTTTTAGCAGGCGTAGCCCTGTTTGACTGGTGTGACTGGACCTGTAGCGGCTGTCGGTGTCAGCAGGAGGTACCGCACCCATATTTCATAGAGCACAGCTTCCCTGGGCTGAGGCCGTGGGGTGGCTGTAGTCAGACCATGACCCGGCATCGGTAAGTGCTGGCATTTTACTGAGGAAACTGAGTTTCACCGAATGAGTTGGGAAGGATGAGGAGCTACGATGCCAGGAAGAGCCACTGCAGAGCAGTTAATGAAGCAAGCAGAGAACAACAGACG